TGGCTGGCAGCATGGAAATCTGGCCCAAACCGGTTTTACAGAGCCCTCTATCCTGGAGACAATGTGGAACATAATCCAATTATATCCAGGGATAGAGGCAGACTCCGTTGAGCACATGTTCCCAGTAAAACACAAAATGATACAAAAATACATAACTCCTATCATACTGAATTGAACGGGCCAAATCTCCCAGGGTCCATAGTCACAGGGCAAGAGGCGGGCAAGCAGTCCTCTCCAGGCACAAGTGGCGAAGGGCACTTTGTCACAGTAATAAATTCATGGATAAAGTAGCAGGGAGGGAAAGTACCGAAAGTACCGAATGAATGTAGGGGGATTCTTCACAATATTATTATAAAAAGCTGCATAAAAAGTTGGCACTGTATAAATGCTAATAATAATAAATAAGATAAATATATGTAAATCACACAATGTAACTGTTTATATCACATTTAGAATGTTGTGAAATCATATAAAATCCACTGCTTCCAAATATGTTTGTTATTAAAATAAATTTAGACCCTGCTTGTTGTTAATTAGTTTAGCACATCAAATATATTTTATTATCCCATTGCTCAACTATCCCTTTCTGCCTACCTTTAAAGGAACAAGACTGTATTCCTAACACTATAGTGACCCTTTGCCTCCGTGTCCCTCCTGCTCCCTGTGCAGTCACTTACTTGATTCAAGCAATGAGATCCCTCGTTGCTGAATTGAGCTCCTCCTCCTGCAACGTCATAGTTATTTTGGAACCTAACGCACATGAGAGGCAAGCGCTGCGCATGCATTAGGGCTTCCCCATATAAAGCATTGAATCAATGCTTTCCTGTGGGTTTTTGAAGGCACTGGATGTCCTCATGCAAAGCATTATTTCACGGATTTCAACTTCTTGTAAATGCAGCAAATGCCTGGTAGACAGCTACTAGATACAGTCTTAGCCATGCAATGTAAACATTGCAGTTTTATCACACTGTAATGCTATACATTAAAGGAGCAGGGACACATCACCTAGACCACTTTCACGAGGTGACAAAGTGATCTGGGTGCCTAGAGTGTTGCTTTAAGAATAAATGCAGTGAGGATGTATGTGGTATTTTGCATACATATAAGGAATTAACAATCTTACAACTTTCTACATCTTTTATTAATGTTGAGCATTTTAAATCTGAAGATCTTAAAATTTTTAACAATAATTGTACCAAATCTGTGAGCAAATTCATTTATTTCATTGAATGTTTTAAAAACATTTATTTACAGATTAAAACTGTAAAATAATTAAGAAACTTTTTTAATCAAAGCACAACTGTTTATTCTTTCATCTTTTACATCTAGAATACCAGAATTTGGTCTCAAGAGATCTGAGCGTTCACATTGAATAGATGTGTTTATTCATGCTGGTGAAACATTTTAAGTTCATGGATCCCTGCCACAGCACTTTTATTTAACCCCTTAACGCCGTTACGGCGTTCTATGCCGTCCCGCATTAAATGGGCTTTAAAGCCATTGCGGCGGCATAGAACGCCGTAACGGCTTTTAGCCCCAGGAGCTCGGAGGTACTTACCTCTGCCGCGATCCTCTTCGGGAGGACTGCCTGACAGCCTGACAGCCCAGGCAGCACTCCCCCGGCAAACCAGGCCCCCAGGGGCCATTTTTAAATGATATAGAATAAAAGTTATATTTTATTTTTACTATCATCAAGTCCTTGGAGTGCGGTCATTTCCAATCATTTTTTTATATATATAATATATATACAAATCTTATATATGTTACATCATACGTAGTGTATTTTAATATTAATATAAGTACATATATTTGTACTAAAATAAACTTAGAATGACGTTACATATATATAAGGTATATATATGTAACGTCATTCTAAGTTTATTTTAGTACTAATATATGTACTAAATAAACTTAGAATGACGTTACATATATATACCTTATATATATGTAACGTCATTCTAAGTTTATTTTAGTACAAATATATGTACTTATATTAAAATACACTACGTATGATGTAACATATATAAGATTTGTATATATATTAAATATATAAAAAATGATTGGAAATGACCGCACTAGAAGGACTTGATGATAGCAAAAATAAAATATAACTTTTATTCTATATCATTTAAAAATATCAACCTTTCAGCCCCAATGTATGTATATATATATATACGTATAATTACAATAATAAAATAATAAAATAAATAAAATATGTAATCTCATTCTAACTGTATTTTGTTATTAATATATATATATTGGTAACAAAATACACTTAGAATGGCATTCTATATATATCTATCTATATATAAAATACAAATAACTGCAAATACTTATATATAGATAAATATATATAATTACATAAATAACTACATAAGTATACACATAGAATTTAAATACATATATATGTATATATATATATATATATTAAAATTCTATGTGTATATTTAATTAATCTTTTAACATAATTATGTGATTTAATTAATTAAAATTTGATTGACGTGCCAGACAGAAAGTGCAGAGAATTTAATTTGCACACACTATATTTAACCCTGTATCTTTCCAAGACACCATAAAACCTGTACATGGGGGGTACTGTTTCACTTGGGAGACTTCGTTGAACACAAATATTAGTGTTTCAAAATGGTAACTTGTATTACAACGATGATATATTTAGTAAACGTGAATTTATTTGCATTTTTCACAGATGAACTGCACTTTTACTGACTAAACTGTGAGAAATTAAGATTTTTTAAAACAATTGTATACATTTTAGCTGTAAATGTCATAATACTGTTAGCTTTAAATGCCAAAAAACACATATTTGGATTCAGCAAAGTCTCACGAGTACAACAGTACCTCCCATTAACAGTTTTTACGGTGTTTTGGAAAGTTACAGGGTCAAGTAAAGCACATTCCATTTTTCAGTTTTTTCAAATTAAAATTTGCCAGATTGGTTATGTTGCCTTTGAGACCGTATAGTAGCCCAGGAATGAGAATTACCCCCATGATGGCATACCATTTGCAAAAGTAGACAACCCAAGGTATTGCAAATGGGGTATTGTCCAGTCATTTTTTGAAGCCACTTAGTTACAAACACTGGCCAAATATTTGTTTTTTGCTTTTTTCACACAAAAACAAATATGAACGCTAACTTTGGCCAGTGTTTGTGACTAAGTGGCTACTAAAAAAGACTGGACATACTCCACTTGCAATACCTTGGGTTGTCTACCTTTGCAAATGGTATGCCATCATGGGGGTAATTCTCATTCCTGGGCTACCACACGGTCTCAAAGGTAACATTACAAATCTGGCAAATTTCAATTTGAAAAAACTGAAAAATGGAATGTGCTTTACTTGACCCTGTAACTTTCCAAAACACCGTAAAAACTGTTAATGGGAGGTACTGTTGTACTCGTGAGACTTTGCTGAATCCAAATATGTGTTTCTTGGCATTTAAAGCTAACAGTATTATGACATTTACAGCTAGAATGTATACAATTGTTTTTAAAAATCTTAATTTCTCACAGTTTTTTATATTTTATTCATAATAAATTATGTTTCAATTATGAATAGTTCATGAGAAATTAAAGTCCAGTTTCTCCTGAACAAAATGATATATAATAAGTGTGGGATCACTTAATATTAAAGAGGGGAATTACGGTTGAACAGACATATAGCGCAAATTCCAGTTTTTGTTTACATTTTGTTTTGATCAGAACGTGTACTATTGACTCAGTCCTGAAGGGGTTAAAAATGCTACTACATGTTGAAGTTTTGTGCAGTTGGCTAATTTGGAATGGAGTTGGATTTATAATATTTCTCCAATGCTTCTTAATATCTGAATTTATGCTTGAGAAAGCTCCCTGATGGTTACAAGTCTTCTGGGCAATTTTCACAATATTTTGGGATGTTGTTATCCTCTTAAGAAATAATGAGCCACTTTTCAGAAAGAATCTGATTCCAGCTGTCAGGCTACATTGAAAAGTTAAATGCGGTATTTTAAGCACATCTGTCCATGCATTAAAGGGACACTATAAGCAAAAAACAACCTTTGCCAAAAACAGATGTAGGGAATATTCTGTGTCAAATGCCCTCTTGGCTTTGCCACTACTAGTGATGTCGCGAACATAAAATTTTCAGTTCGCGAACGGCGAACGTGAACTTCCGCAAATGTTCGCGAACGGGCGAACCGGGTGAACCGCCATAGACTTCAATGGGCAGTCGAATTTTAAAACCCACAGGGACTCTTTCTGGCCACAATAGTGATGGAAAAGTTGTTTCAAAGGGACTAACACCTGGACTGTGGCATGCCGGAGGGGGATCCATGGCAAAACTCCCATGAAAAATTACATAGTTGATGCACAGTCTTGTTTTAATCCATAAAGGGCATAAATCACCTAACATTCCTAAATTGTTTGGAATAACATGCTTTAAGACATCAAGTATAATGTTGTATCGATCAGGTAGTGTAAGGGTTACGCCCGCTTCACAGTGACAGACCAATCTCCCCGTTTAACGCACCGCAAACAACCGCAAACAGAGGCGGCTCTCTAATTAGGCGGTTTAGGCAGCTGCCTAAGGCCTCGCGCTGGCTGGGGCCTCGCGGCCGCCTAAACCGCCTTATGGCAGACTGTGTCAAGTCTTCGCTCAGTGACCGAGGACCTGACACCAGGAGGGGGCCCGGCAGCTTGCCCGGTATGCCTCCTGGCTGCAGGGCCACCATCGCAGACACAGGTCTGCAGCTTCGCAGTGAGCAGAGCTGTAGACCATGTGTCTCGTGAGAATTGGCCAATCAGAGCGTTGCTGCGGGTTACCACGGCAACGCTCTGATGGTCTCGCAATATTACACGGTCTGCAGCTCCACCAGGGAAGAGAAGATAGGCTCCCTCACCACCCATAGCCTCCCCCCACCAGCCTCCCCCCCCCCCCACCAGCCTCACCACCATCAGCCTCCCCCCCACCAGCCTCACCACCCTCAGCCTCCTTGGGGTGGGGTGGTGAGGCTGGTGGAGGGGGTGGGAAGGCTGAGGGTGGTGAGGCTGGTGGGGGGAGGCTGAGGGTGGTGAGGCTGGTGGGGGGTGGGAGCCTCCCCCCACCAGTCTCACCACCCTCAGCCTCCCACCCCCCACCAGCCTCACCACCCTCAGCCTTCCCACCCCCCACCAGCCTCACCACCCTCAGGCCTCCCCCCTCAGCCTTTCCAACCCCCCACCAGCCTCACCACCACCCTCAGCCTCCCCACCCGAAGCTAAGCTGGAGGAGGATGGTGTGTCAAGATTCTGAGCGGAAGCTGTAGAAGATTGGGTGTCCTGTGTTAGCCAGTCAACTATGTCCTCAGAACTTTTCGAGTTCAGGGTACATGGCCTCTGAACACTAGGCATTATTCTAGAGCCAAAGGGAATCACAGCACCACGACCATGACGGCCCCTGCGGGGTGGCCTGCCTCTGCCTGTCATTTTTTTTTGGATTAGTGGTACTATGCGTGCAAGCTACTGTGACAACAGATATGAGTGGCACTGTGCAGTGGCAGAAGTTGGCAGAGTAGACGCTGAAGGCCTGACACACACGCTTGCAGACAACTAACTGCTATTCAATCTATTACAGTCAAAATTGTATTTTTCTTTTAAAATGTACACTACTGTTACACCAGATATGAGTTGCACTAGTGTGACACTGTGCCCTGGCAGGCCCTGAAACGCACACGCGTGAAGGAAACTGACTGCTATTATATTACAGTCCAAAAAGTTTTTTTTTTTTTTTAAATGTAAGCTATTGGGACACCAGTGAGTGAGTGGTGGCACTGCGCAGGCCCTGAAACTCACACTCGTGAAGGTATTGATGTTGAGGGTGGTGGGGGATAGTGAGGCTGAGGGTGGTGGGGGTATAGTGAGGCTGAGGGTG